AACCCGTTTCTCTCAACTATGCTTTTCCTTCCACAGTTCTACCACCTCTCAATGGTTTATTCAAGTTGTGATTCTGTCAATGCACTAAGCCATTTATGAGGGCTGAGACCTCACAATTCACTTTCCAAAAGCCCCACTGCTGAATACTGCTGGCAGTGGTAACCAAGCCTTTAACACATGAGCCTTATGTGGGTCACTTCTTATCCAAACTATAACAGGCCTTAAAGACATTTCTCAAAAGAAGATATAGAAATGAACAACAAGTCCATCATTAACCGCTAGAGAAAAGAAACATATCACCTTAACCTAGTAGAAATGGCTACTATCAAAAAGACAAAAGATAAGTGTTGATCAGGATCTAAAGAATAGGAAACTCTTCTTCATTGTTGAGAATATAAAGTCATACAGCTATTAGGGAAAACATTATGGAGCTTCCTCAGAAAATTAAAAACATCTATCATGTAACCCACCAATCCTCCATCTGGGTATGTATACACAGGAAAGAATATCAATATGCTGACAATCATCTCTACTCTTGTTAAATGAAGCATTGATCAGAACAGCAAAGAAATTGAAACAACCTAAATATTAATCAATATACAAATGGGGAGAAGGGATTACTTTTTTTTTTTTTTTTTGCCAGTTCTAGGGCTTGAACTCAGGGCCTGGGCTCTGCCCCTGAGCTTCTTTTGCACAAGACTAGCACTCTACCACTCAAGCCACAGTGCCACTTCTGGCTTTTTCTGCTTATGTGGTGCTGAGGAATCGAACCCAGGGCTTCATGCGTGCTAGGCAAGCACTCTACCTTCCCAGCTCTCAATACAAAAATGGATAAATGTGATTTATATGTATATATGGTACATATATATTGACTACCTTGTATATGTATATAGATGGTATATATATTTATATATATACATGGGATATGGGATATAAATATATGCAATGGGATACTACTACTTAGTCATACAAAGAATTAAATCCTGTCATTTGTGCCAACATGAATAGAACTGGAAATTACTATGTTAAGTAAAATAAGCCAGGCACAGAAAGACAAGAACTGCGTGATTTCAAATGTATATAAAATATTAAACAGTTGATCTCACAGACGTTAATGGTAGAATGGTAGTTACCAGAGGCAGGGAAGAATAGGCAGGAGGAGTAAGAAATAGGGAATGATTGATCAATTGTACCAAGTTAAACATATATAAAGAAGTTCTTGTACTGCACAGTATATTGACTATGTATATAATTACATACTATATATATATATATATATATATATATAAAGCTAAAAGAAAATGATTTTTAATGATTTTACACACAAAAAAATAATGTTTGAGAAGACAGATGTTTCTTTAAAAGCAAGTATACATGAATAATCCCTTGAGGGTTTGTTCCTAAACATTTAGCATTTCCCTAACCAGTAACTCAGTATTCAATTTCATAATATTTAATAGTTCTACTTGTGACCAAGTATAGAGGAAGAGCACCACTGAATTTGTGTCACATATTTCTGATTATACTATATAATTTCATGCTTACCTAAATCTTTCTGAATATAAAACTGTGTAAAATCTGATCAAATGATAGCCTTTACAGTTCCTGTTACTTTTTGGCTGGTGATCTTGTTTCATGGTGACGTGAAGATACAGCCATCTAGCTGCCAACAATTCTGGTGAAGAAATAAAAGACATATTGCTAACTCATTAAAACTGCCTGAACTTTTATCAACCAGTAAACTGAATATTTAATAATCTGACTTTACTGATGGTCGTTTTTAATTTCAGAATTCTTTTAGTAGCATAAAAGTATATATTGAGCAATTTTGTTTTATTGGTAATATAGTTTTTTGATTGTGTTTATGATCACTGAATGAGTTTGAGGTGAACTATAGTCGATCTCACAAAACTCGAACACTTGAATACTTCATTGTCATTACATTTACAGAAATCTTAGCAGAATTACAAACAGGTAAAATATTTTAATTTTAGCAAATGATAAGTAATCATTTCCAAAAAATGGTTTTTAGCTTAATGAGTTTGGTCCTTTCTTACCTTTATTCTTGTCTCAGGTGTCCTTGCTTATATTACTTATACTATTCTTCCAACATAATCTGAATTTATGACTTCACAAATTAAAGTACTATCTTCCATTGGACAAAATTCTATAAATGGTTCAGCAATCATCTGAAATCCATAATAGTACAAGTATTTCTATAAAGGCAAACTACAACTGCAGAGCACAAAAGCTAATAAACCTTCAGTCTGCTCTCAGTATGGAACATTAAGTATGTGAAAATGGCAAGAAAATCATCAGAATTTAGAAATCCCAAAAGGGAAATAGACAACACAAATTAAGGTGGGAATGGTATATCATTCTACTTATTTTTGTTTTAAAATGGTTGAGGTTTTGTTTATTTTCTTTCTTTGCTAGTCCTGGGATTTGAACTCAGAGTCTGGGTGCTGTCCCTGAGCTTCTTGAGCCCCAGGCTCTACTTCTAGCCTTTTTTTTTTTTTTTTTTTTTTGGTAATTTATTGGAGATAAGAGTCTCACCGACTTTCCTGACCCACCCTTCCCTCAGTATGAAATAATGAAATAATTCATTTCCTAACTTCAATCAGAAAGTCTCTGAATAAATAAGGACAAACAATACTGAATGCTAGATTCGTCTGGTTAAAAACTGAGACTAGAATAATACAAACCTGTAATGCCATTAATCAGGAAGAATAGGTAGGAGAGTCGCTGTCATAGGCTGATAATCAAAAATATAGCAAAAGTAATAGCTGGGTGCCAGTGGCTCATGCCGGTAATCAGGAAGCTGAAATCTGAAGGATTGAGGTTCAAAGTGGGCCTGGACAGAAAAAAATCTTTGTGACTCCACCTCCAAACAACCAGCAAAAAGCCAGGCTAAAGACAACTCAAGTGACAGAGATCCAGCCCAGCAAGACTCTTGACTTCAAACCCCAGTTCTGGGAGAAAAAGAAAAGCAAAGCAAAGAGACCCAGACCCTGAAGGTTGCAAAATCTGAAAACTACCTTTAAAGTACAGGGCTTTGTAAGTGGTCTAGTGACTGTGGTGTTGAGGAGGAGGAACCTAAGAAGGAAATGGAAAGAACCAGCAAATGAGTGGGGTACCAGCTTTTGTGTGCAAAGCCTTGTAAGCTCAACAGACGCGAAGGCCGCAGGCTGTGAATGGATTAAGAGCCACTGCATTGTCCACTTTCACCGGGTACTTCTATGTGAACCGTACTGCAATTTTGTCTTTGTAAACTAAGTAACAGAACAGGGTTTTGTGGCTAGGTCTGGTGAAGGGTCCCACAGTACCATCTCCTCGCCAGCTGGGGCCCAGAGCTCAAGGAGGACCCCCAATCCCAAAGCTAGCCAACTAACCAGCATTTGACACCATTATTGAAGTCACTTCCCTCAGTATGAAAGAATGACAAGAAATCCACTAGAACCTTCTAGAAATCCCGAACAGGGTGGGGATAAGAGGCCATTTTTTTAAATGCTTTGGCGCTGAGCAAAGTGTACTCGTTTCCAAAGAGTCTCACTTAAACCTCTAGGTGTTCAACTGTTACGGAAGCGCTTGCCAGCGGAGCAGAGTCTCACGGTAAAATATGAAAACCCACTCTGAAAAAGACTTTCCGCTGCGACGACACTCGCTCCTCACCAACGCTCGCCACCACACCGGGCCACGCGAAAGCTGCCTCCACAAGCCGGGGAAGGCGTAGCCTCTGAGGGCACTCCCGCCACACGGCGCGAGCTACGCCGCTCGGCCTTCTGGAAATTGTAGTTTTCGTCTTCATCTATCGCCCTTATTCAGGTCAGTGTGAAGTGGCTCGGAAAACTACAACTCCCAGAGTGCCACGTGGTGGCGAGCGGCCGTAGCGGTGACGACTGTGGCGGAGAAGGCCCAGAGGAGCTCTGCGTTCTGGAGTGGTGCTGCTAAGGCCGGTGGCAGGTTGCGGACTACTGGGTGACGAGCTGAGAAGAACCAGCGACTGTGTTCGGCCTTTTCCTCATCAGGATCCCCCGCCACGATGAGTGCCGCCAGAGAATCTCACCCGCATGGGGTGAAGCGTTCAGCCTCCCCGGACGACGATGTAAATAACAATGGCGGAGTGGGTGAGGGTTGAGGCCTACCGTAGGCCCCGGTAGGCCGGGCCGGGTGAAAGAGGAGGAGGAAGCGCCCGGGGAGGCTCTGACGGGGGTTGGGCCCAGAAGAAGGACTGGGAAATGTTTCCCAGACCTAATCTGGGTCGGCCCCACGCTGAGCGCCCGCGGCTCGCTGCGGTCGGGGGACGTAGTTAGCCCATCTGGGGAGGGGCTGCGCAGTGAGATAGCGGGATTCGGGGCCGTCTTACTTGCAGGTGACGCTAATTTGTTAGGTTTTTCAACCCAGGCCCGCAGAGGCAGCGAGACCCTTGCTGTTTTCGGTTTAATTAAATGGCCCTAGGCCGTGGCGTTCGTTCACACTTGAACCCCCAGGCCGGGGTTATTTTTCAGCGTCCTGTGACTAGTAGTAGATGAAAGTGAGGATGCTGTTGAACCGAAACGTTGGCGTATGCGTGTCATCATTTGGTCATGGCATCACGGCGAAGGGCCCTAGGCGGGGAGACCTGGCAGCCGTGTTCGTCCCACGCCTTTCCTCCCAAACCTTCAGCTTAACAGTTTTTAAGTAACAAACCGCCCTGGAACGCAACCTGTTAAATATTGACGGCTGTGCCAGGTGTCAGGAATTCAAAAGATGAATAAGCACGATGCTTTATGTTGGGCGTTTTCGTGTTATTTGCCCCAGCGCTAGCGACAGTGTCGGAAACTGCAGGTAGCCAGCACACGTAAATCCGGACCCATCGGGTAATGTGATGGGATAGCTCCCGGCAAATATGGAAAGGGGTGTGGAGGAGATCGTCCTTAAGATTCACGAAAGGATATCTAGTTTACTTTCATTTGTTTAAAGCATTCTCAATCTCTAAATTGTATGCACTCAAGGCCTTTCTGAATATCTTCGTAAATCATAGAACGCTTACTGAACTATTTGATGAGGTGGTGGTGAAGACCTCCTTTTTGGATGGTAGGTGGGGTGGGGTTTCTTTGAGGAAATTTATTTTTAGCTCTGCAGAAAGATTAGTGGTAAAGGTTTGGGACCAGCGGCTATTTTCTGAGGCTTATTCTTGCCTCCGAATCTCCCAGCAACTGGCATTTTAAATCTACTGTTGGCATGGTAATTCAGTATATGTAAAGACCTTATCCGTTTTGTTTTTGTTTTGAGTAGCCTAAGTTTTAGATCGATTTAAAAAGCTATTATATTGTTTTCTTCCTGATACTTACCTGATTTTGTAGGTGTTAAATCAGACACCTGTTTTGTTGGTCTCCAAAGTCTTTGAGATTGGCCAAAACCTCCAGGTGATATTATGCAAAGGGATTAAGTGACTAAGTCTCCACAGCTTCTGATGAAATCACTTTAAATTAGATGGCCTTTAATACCTTTCCCTGTCCCAAAAGAAAGCATTTATACTTGAAAATGAAGATTAAAACCTGGGACCTTAGGCTGGACACCAGTGGCTCATACCTGTAATCCTAGCTACTCAAGAGACTGAGATGTGGATCTCTATTGGAAGCCAGCCCAAGCAGTTAAGTTCCTCACACTCTTATCTCCAACTACCAATTTGTGGAAATGAGCTGTCACTCACGTGGTGGAGGGCTAGCCTTGAGCACAAAAACTCAGGGACAGCATTCAGGTTCTGCGTTTAAGCCCCAAAACCTGCACAACCACCACCACCAAAAAAGCTAAGATCTCAGAATTGTGGTTCAAAGCCAGCCAGGGCAGGAAGGCCCCTGGGACTTATTTCCAATTAACTACTAAAAAGCTAGATGTGGACCTGTGGCTCAAGTAGTAGAGCACCACCAGCCTGAGCCAAAACTGAGTTCAAGCCCTAGTAACAGCGGGCGTGTGCACAGACACACACACCTAAAACAAAATGACTATTGTTAATATTATAGTATGGTACAGTAACTTGTCCCTCAGTGGTGATTTATGTTTCTTTTGTAGAATTTTATTTTTACTGATAAGTGAGAGTTGTCTCTACTTGTGTTTTGTTTTGTTTTAAGTCATGGTTTGTTTTTGTTTTTTTGGTGCCTGTCCTAGAGCTTGAATTCAGGGCCCTGGCACTGTCCCTAAGCTGCTGCTCAAGGCTGGTGTGCTACCACTAAATCCATAGCTCCACTTTGGTTTTTTGTTGTTGTTGTTTTTTGGTGCTTAATCAGAGATAAGAGTTTCATGGACTTTTCCTGCCTACTCTGGCTTCAAACCATGATCCTCAGATCTCAGCCTCCTGAATAGCTCAAATTACAGGTGTGAGCCAACAGCACCCAGCTAGAAGTAAATTCTAAAACAGTCACTAGGAAATGTATTAAGGAGGCAAAAGGGAGATTGTAGTCCTATGGCAAAGGATTTTTAAGGATGAAGAAAACGATGGTTTTGTTGGTTTGGTTGGAATGGAGCTGAAAGCTATTTTATAGAGAGTGAGAAAATTTGTTTTAGTAACTTGTAGGGAACCTCTAATAAAGTGTCAGCCATTAAGACCTCCTGAATGCTGAAGCTACACTCTTACCACTAAGCTATATCCCTAGCCTATGTTTGTCCATTTAATCATGAATGCAGTGGTAATCCCAGCATTTGGTAACCGAGGCAGGAGGATTGTAAATTTGAGGCCAGCCAAAGCTATGTAATAAAACTATTGAAACCCAAACCAAAGAAATGTTGGAGGGAGGGGGGAGATGGGGAGGGAAGCAATAATGTAGGAAGGGAAAAAAATCAGGAAAGTTGGGTTTTAACTTCTCAATCATTTCTATAACTAGTTCATAGACTACACACTTCTAATTTGTTCATTTATAGTATGGTATGAAAAAAAGCAGACTTCAAGCAGGTCACCTGCCTCCTTATTTATCAAAATAGACTGTTGTGAGATGCTCTAAAAAAGATGTAAGTAAAAAATCATTTGTAACTTGTAAAACACTCCAAGCTAAGAATCCTATACACAGGTCACCTGCTTACTTATTTATCAAAATAGACTGTTGTGAGACACTCTTTAAAAAAATTTAAGTAAAAAATCATTGTAATTTGTGAAACACTCCAAGCAAAGAATCCTATATAGTTGAAACCTATATAGTTGAAACTTCAGAATTTGTAGTATTTTGAGCTATTTGCTTGTACACAGTAAACTATCTTGGGGATAGATAGTCTAGATAATTTTATATAATATTTTAGTGCACCTCACCTGACTGACCTGACACATCAGGTCATATGTGGAATAAGGAAACTGTCTTTGTAGGTAAAGAATTAACACTGAATTTTAATTAAGTCAATTCTGGGCTCACAGCAAATGATTTAGTGAGAATCAGAACTAAAGTGTGTTACTAATATTTATTGTTGGAATTGGCGCTGTGGCTCAAGTGGTAGAGTGCTAGCCTTGAGCTGAAGGACTGAGAGACAGTGCCCAGGCCCAGAGTTCAAGCCCCACGGCCAACAAAAAAAAAGTTTAGTATTTATTATTGTATTGAGAAATGGTTAAGACTAAATGTTCTATAAAAGGATATGAGTTGTCACAGTCAAAGTAGAAATTTGTAATTTAGTAGGTAAAATTACGAGAACATATCCCCTGCAGAAAAAAGAATTAAAGCTACAAGTGGATCCAGTGTGGTACAGATGCTTTAAGCCCTTCTCCCCCATATTCTGAGAGCAGTTCAGTGTTACTTATTATTCAGTGTTACTTATTGTATGGCTCAGGCTGGCCTTTAACTTTCAGTTTCCCAAGCCTTTCAAGTGCTGGGATTATAGATATATACCATTATACTCATAGTCTTTTATGAATAATGTTGACAAAAATAAAGGGATAGTAAAAATGACTTTTTGGGAACTTTAATATAGATTTAACAATAGCAACCCCAAATTTCTACTCTACATTTTTCTGATTTTAGTGATATATATAACTCATTCTCTGAATACAGCTAATTACCATTAGCTGTCATGTGTGAGAACCTGCAACATATAATTAAAAATTTATATCTATTTCTAATAGGTTTTAGCTTTATCATTACCTGTAGTCCTTTCATTATACATGAAGAGATTTGAAACTTTTGATTACTTAGAAGTTTGTGTTGAAGAGGGGTTTATCATCTTTGATCCATAATTACAAAACATTTGCATTTTCAGATAAACTCAATTAGAATGATCGATCTGATGGGTGTATTCATTTCTGTATCATGTTTTTCTTTTTCACCTTTCTATACAGACATAACCTGCCTTCAGTCTTTCTCCATGTACAAATTGAATCAAGTAAATTTTGATGTACCAACATAAACGATTAAAGTCCCATATCCTTTTATAAAAATGGGAGGTGGGCCCAACTATTACTGCCGAATATTACATGATAAAAACCTTTCCTATTGAATGACTTTCTGATGAGAATAGTATATTTCTTTAATTTTATTTTTTTTAGCAGTGCTGGAGTTTGAACTCAGAGCCTTGTACTTGATAGGAAGGCACTCTGCCATTTGAACCATACCCCCAACCCTTTTTGCTTTTGGATTATTTTTTAGATAGGGTCTCATGATTTTTAACAGAGCCAGTTATTTGACTTTTGGAGAACCTTTGAGGTTGATTAAAAATCTTAATGTCTCACTCCTAACAAATAATTAAAATGCTCAAAACAAACCAAAAATTTTAATTTGGGTCTAGTGCCTTCTGATAATGTGGTCCCTTAGAATTTCATGTGTTTCAGTTAGCAGTTGTGGCAACTTTCTGGTCCTAGTGATTAGGCCCCTTCAAGCCTCAGGACAAAAGATATCAAAGTGTAGTATGCACTTGAGAGCATCAGCATTACCTAGGAAATTTTTAGACATTCATAACCTGGAACCCTACTCCATCCATACCCAGTGAATCTGAAACTCAGAGGCATAAAACTTTATCTTAACAAATCTCTGGTGATTCTGATACACGCAGCCTTTTAGATTAAAAATATTCTGCTATGAGGTAACAAAAAGGAGTATATTTGAATTCAAATGTGATTCCTATTTAACTTCATAAACAAGAACAATGAACCCATTAACAGTCATAACAACAGGTTGAAAAAAAAATCCTTAAAGGTAGACTAATCAACTTTTTTCTCCTCCAGCTTGGATCTAGCAATTGGGAGGCAGCAGACCTGGGTAATGAAGAAAGAAAACAAAAGTTCTTGAGACTTATGGGTGCAGGAAAGGTAAGCATCATTGGGTATACATATTTATCTTTTCTATACAAATAATGCTGTTTTTAAGTGAGAACTAAGCACATTTATCACATTTCTTGTACTGCATGGTTCTCTCCCCCCCCCCCCCCCCCCCCCCCCCACTGGGATTTAAAATCAGTCTTGATCTTGTTGGGTTTGCTCATCTGGCACTCTACTATTTGAAACATGCTGAGGCACAGCGCCCAGGCCCAGAATTCAAGCCCCACAACTGACCCCCCCCCCTAAAAAAAAAGAAAGAAAGTAGACAAATCAGGAGTGGGGAATGTTCAGCACACAGGCCATATAAGCCCTTTGAAATCATTTGGCACTTCATAGGACACTAATACATCCCATCAGCTGCCAGAGGAAGAAGTGTGTGGATTTCAGATGGGGCCTAACCAGCCTCATACTTTTGTTCATGGTTTGTGCTCTACCACTTAAACCACATTTCCGCTTTTGTATTTTTGCTGATTAATTGGAGGTAAAAGTTGCTCAGCCTTTCTTCCTATTCTTGAATCTCAGCCTCCTAAATAGGATTATAGGCATGAGCTACCTGCATCTAGCTTGTATTGATAACTTTATATGGTCTTCAAATTGTGTTACAAATATCCAAATGGCCCTTGGCAGAAGTAAGATTCCCCACTCCTGATTTAAGTAAGAGATTTGCTAAAGCTGTAGAACTAATAGGTTAGGGTTATATAACTGTTCAAGACCTAGAGTTTAGTTAGTACCAAAACAAATTTTAAAAGAGTATTTGGTGTACAAGCCAATATTTTGGCTTTGATCTTCATATAATCTGAGTTTATTCTGTTAGGTAACCACAAAATATATTACTAATTCTAACCAGCCAGCGTGAATACTTTACTGGTCATAGGAAGAACCAGCTGATAAAGCATGACTAGTGCATAGTACCATCATCCTAGAATAACTTGATGTCGTTGTATTTATAATCAGATCTTGTTAATGGTGTACCTTTTGCAGTCTAAGAAGCAGCATATTGAATCATTGATTAGTTTAAATATCAACTGGAGTTTTAACGAAGAAAATGCTTATACTGAATCTATCCCATTTAAAATTCTAGTCTGATCTCTATCCCACCTTCATACTTCTATCACTTTATTCTGTTTTAGTGGCACTTAATACATTCAAATACACTATAATTTACTTATTTGTTACATCGGTCTATCTCCCTTTCCCATGCTTACTCTTGCTCTAGTAGAATGTAAGCCCCACAAAGGCAAGGATCTTAATTTATTTCTTCGTCTTCACTATATCCTGGAAAGCTAGAATAGTATATAGTAGTATATTCAATAATTATATTAAACTAGTAATCTTAAATTCCAACACATTTTCCACCTTTCTTATAGAAAGAACACACTGGTCGTCTTGTTATAGGTGATCACAAATCAACATCTCACTTCCGAACAGGTAAGTAAATATAATTCAAATAGAACCAACATGAATACTTCATTGGTTATAAAACCAACAGTAAATTTGGTATAAATGATACTTGCAGATTTTGGGATATCATTTTATATATATTAAAATAATATATATTAAAAATATATATTATATATAATAATATATATTAAAATAATATTGGATGTATATGAGAGCATTATGTGTAACAATGTTGCATGTGTCATAAAGTATTAAATGTTGTTTTGATTTTAAAAGACAACAGAAGATCGATATCTCAATATGATATCCCACCAAAGAAACTAAGCTGTTTCTGTCTTTATTCTTAGTGACTCAGAACATACATGTTAATTGTAATGAGAGTTTATACCTTTTCTTGGCAATGGTGATAAACATATCAAATTTTTTCCTTTATGTAAATTATTTGACATATTAGTGTGTTATACTGGCTTTAAGTTTACTCACCAGTTCTTCTAAAATCTTACAAGAATATAAAGTTGCAGAGCCTTAAGAAATAAACTTTTTTTTAAAAAATTGAGGCTGGGAAAGCTGTAAAGTGCTTGCCTATATATGCCTATATACACAATACCTACATATGCCTACTTACATAGGGAAAAAGTCTTTAAAACTGAAAAGCAGGGCTCTGGTGGTTCACTCCTGTAATCCTAGCTACTTGGGAGGCTACTCAGGATCTGAGGATCAAGGTTCAAAGCTGACCCAGGCATGAAAGTCCACGAGACTCATCTCCAATTAACCACTAGAAAACGAAGTGGAGCTGTGGCTCAAAGTGGTAGAGTGCTAGCCTTGAGTGAAAGAGCTCAGGAACAGCACCCAGGCCCTAGGTTCAAGCCCCATGAATAACACAAAAAAACAAAACACTGAAGCCCTGTACTATTGGCTCATAACTGCAGTCCTAGCCTGTCATCTATTGTGGAGAACATAATTAGGAAAGTATCTGTCGGGGCTGGGAAGGTGGCTCAGTGGTAGAGCGCTTGCCTTGCATGCATGAGGCCCTGGGTTCAATTCCTCAGCACCACATAAGCAAAAAGAAAAAAGCCGGAAGTGGTGCTGTGGCTCAAGTGGTAGAGTGCTAGCCTTGAGCTGAAGAGCTGAGGGACAGCGCCCAGGCCCAGAGTTCAGACCTCACGACCAGACCCCCCCCCCCCCCAAAAAAAAAAAAAAAAAAAGTATCCAAGCCAGCCTCAGCAAAAAGTGAGATCCCTGTCTCAAAAATAACCAAAGCAAAAGGGCTGAGCCTAGACTTAAGTAGAATGCATGCCTAGCAAGCTTGAAGCCCTCAGTGCAAAATTCCACTGCCACCAAAATCAAAAATTGAAAATGAATTTGATTTATATTCAGTCTCCTAGAAGGTGAAATTTTCACCTGTTAAAGTTAGCCATTTATCCAGGTGCCACTGACTCAATGCCTATAATCATGGCTACTCAGGAGGCTCAGATCTGAGAATTGCAGTTTGAAGCCAGCTCAGACATGAAAGTCCAATTAATCACAGAAAAAGCCAGAAGTGGCACTGTGGCTGAAGTGGTAGAGTGGTAGCCTTGAGCAAAAAGGAGCTCAAGGATAGCGCCCAAACCCCAGAGATGAAGCCACAGGACTGGCAAAAAAAAAAAAAAGCCCTAATCTTGGATAAGTTTTAATAATAATAGATGCTGACCTAGATTTAACTTAACAAAATTTCAATTAAATTACCTAATGTTATAATGACTGAGAATATTTTAGAATTTAATGTCTTTATTTTGTGCATGTTACTTCACATTGATATGCATTGTTAGATAAAACAGAATTATTACAATAGAAAAATATTTTAACTGCTGCATTTTTCCCTAAAATGGGGAGTTATGTGAATTGAAGTTAAAGAACCATCATTTGTATTAAAATTGGAATTCACTTGTATTTATATCCATAAATTAAAATGTCAAGCACAGAAATCCTCAGTTATATTAACATAGCTCTTGAGTGGTAAGGTTATAGGTCAACATTTAGAATATTCTGCTTAATGAAGTAATTGCTAAAGTTTATGTTGTTTCAACTAGCTGATAAGGAAAAACAGTCATAAAGGAGAGCCATTACAAGGTCACCTTCTGAACAGAATTTTCAACCTTTTCACTGTTTTTATTCAAAAACAGATGATCCTGGTTCACTGGTGGTTTTTTAGGTGACTTGGAGAAAGTTTTTGGAATAATATTAAACATTTTGGTAACTCAGGAGTAGGTTCTAAAGAAGTAATGATAACTATATTTATTTATTGTTTATTAGTAACCTTTTATGGTATGTCATTCATAAAAATTCATTAGTCACAATTAGATAATTCAACCCTTAATATAATACCCCATCTGTATTATGGGTTTTTTGTGTAATCATATGTTTTTATTAATTTGACTGAAACATAACCAAAGTACAATGGACATGCAGGGGAAGAAGACAAGAAAATTAATGAAGAACTGGAGTCTCAGTATCAGCAAAGTATGGACAGTAAATTATCAGGAAGATACCGACGACATTGTGGTCTTGGCTTCAGTGAGGTAGTAATTAACTTGTTTTCATTGATTGGGAAGATAATTATTTTCAGTTTCATATCATTTGTTCCTGTTAGATTACCCCAACAGTTAAGAATCTTGACTGAGAAAACTGTCTTTGTACAGATACTTAATGTATTTTTATTGTCCATCTAGATCTCTAGGTAATCAGAAAAGATTTTTTTTATGGGTTTAAAGATGTGTTTAAATTCTGCTTAATCATTAGGATATATTCTTTATGAATACCATCCTTACAAGTTGTTGTCTTACCTACAAGTATTAGATAAAATACTTTATGTAAGTTTAAAATTTTTGCTTCGGGAG